GGATTGGCAATAGATTTTAGCTCAGGGCCAGTCTTCCTCAGCAAAAAGAAGAGGATTGGCATGGATGTTAGCTCAGGGCTGATCTTCCTCACAAAAAAAAAAACTTTGGCAATACATTATAATAACCATAAGTTTTAAAAATATCAAATGCTGGGGCCGGCCCAGTGGCGCAAGTGGTTAAGCGCGCACGCTCTGCTGCGGCAGCCCGGGGTTCGCCGGTTCAGATCACGGGCACGCACCGAGGCACTGCTTGGCAAGCCATGCTGTGGTGGCGTCCCATATAAAGTGGAGGAAGATGGGCATGGATGTTAGCCCAGGGCCAGTCTTCGTCAGCAAAAAAAGAGGAGGATTGGCAGATGTTAGCACAGGGCTGATCTCCTCACAAAAAAAAAAAAAAAAAAAAATTAGCAAAACTAACTTCAAGAAAAACAACTAACAGTACTGATAAAATCTGAGTTTCCAAGCAAAAATTAGAATTCTTGAAAACTTATATCATCCGCCATATGCTCAACAGCATCCCAATACTTAAAGATGTTTTTGATACAATCACTGGTGATATTAAAGACCATGAGCTTTTGATATTATATAACAAAAATTATCATCATCTGGAAGATGTGAATAACTCAGAGAAGCAGTATTTTCCAAATGACCAATGTACCACCCTACAAAAATCAAGCATGGGTAAAAGATTCTCTTAAAGTGCAAGAGAGACCAACGAATCAGACTATGAAAAATTCACAGATATGGTTTCAGGTTCCACATTAGAAATAACCTGTAGGAAACTACCACTTATCGAATTTTGGAGTATTGTCAAAGGAGAGTATTCACAATGATCTGAAAAGGCTATAAAAATCCTCCTCCTTTTTCCAACTACATACTGGTGTGATTTTCTTCACATACTTCAGATTTCTTCACATACTTCAGCCAAAATAACATACGGCAACAAACTAAATGCAGAAGAAAATCTAAGAATCCAGTTGTCATCTATTAAGCCAGACCTTAAGGAGATGTATAAAAATGTAGAACAATGCCACTGAAAAATTTCTCACTAAAAATTTTTGGGAGATTCTGGAAAACACAGTTACTTTTGATTAAAAAATTTTATATTAACATGTAATAGGCTTATTGTTACTTTAAAAAAACAAATAAATTTCTTGGTTTTAATTCCTAATGCAGAAAATACCAATAGCTGTAACTCACAGAAACAAAAGTTCTTTGGGATCCTCAATAATTTTTAAGTGTGTAAGGGGGTCATAAGACCAAAAAGTTTGAGAACTGCTAACTTAAAACTAATAAAGGAGGAGGAATTTATCAATAAAAAGACTGTTTGGTCATAAACAGCTATATTTTAGCTACCAATAAAAGTGTCTTTGAAAGTATAACAGAATAAAGAAACACTCCCAGTGGTTTAAATATGCTGTTTTAATTTATAACACGGCAAATGCCAATAGGTATAATGAAAATTAACAAAGGTCTTTAGAGTCCTCAATAATTTTTAAGAATACAGTCAACTGTCACTTAATGATGGGAACACATTCTGAGATATGCATCACTAGGCAATTTCATCATTGTACAAACATCATAGCGTGTACTTACAGAAACCTAGACGGTATAGCCTACTACACACCTAGACTATATGGTACTAATCTTATGGGACCACTGTCATATATGCAGTCCATACTGACTGAAACGACCTTATGTAGCGCATGACTGTATAACATGTGAGACCAGAAGTTTGAGAACTACTATTTTAAACAGTCACTAAATGCTTATTTCCCTTAGGTTTCTAACATATCTTCCTATAGCTTCTTCTGAAGAGAAATACAAAGTAGGCTACCTAATACTTCCAATAAATGTTTGTGAACTACCTCACAGAAAAACTCAAAAAGATGAAACATTAAGTTACCAAAAGTTCAATCTCCAGTTTCATGCAATACAGTATCCACTAATTCCCTAAAACAAATTTGAGAGCTCCCTATATACTAGGCTCTGTGCATTGTAGGGATATTTCTCCCCTACTTTTCCTTCATCCAAGATGTATAATCAAAGAACGTATTTTTTACCTTTACGCAATCACATCAGCCAAAACTAAAATAAAAAGTTAATATATAAATATTAACTGAAATTTACAAATATCATCACTAAATCTAGAAGACTACTATGGCAGACACATTTGTTTTTCCTGCCTGATATTCCCACCACTTTCTTTCAGTAATAATCCCGTTTTTCTGTGGCAAACTAGCTCCTTTCTCCATCCAATGATCTTGGCAGACGCATAAATTACAACGACCAGTTCTACCCTGGCCAGAGGGATGGACACTTGACCCAATTTAGGCCAGACCCTCTCCCCTGCCACCCCACATAAATCTGATCTTGAACAGAATGACAGACGGAAGGAGATAGTTGGAACTCTCACAGCACTAGTCACACGCTAAAGAGATTCTTCCATGACCCTTTGTTACTAAATTCTCCCAAGCTGCCCATGTTCTTATCTCTGCTTTTCCTTTTGACTCTGTGACCTATTCAGCATTCTTCTAATAAAGTGCCTTTTTTCTTTCCTTTAACCAAGGTCTGTTTCTATGACTTCCCATTAAGGAATCCTGACTACCACCAAATATTAAATGAATCCATCTAAAAATGGACTGTTGGAGAGAAGGAGAATTCTCTACAAAACTAGATGGATGATCAAAGAGAAGAAACTATTAGTAACACACATTTGAAACAACATTTAACCTTGCTGGTAATTAAATAAATTAAAAAACTTGACAAATTTGCCCCTCTAAATCAGCGCTATCCAAAAGAAATTTAGGCAATGATAGAAATGTTCCATACCTGCACTGTCCAATATGATAGCCACTAATCACTACTGAGCACTTGAAATGTGGTAAGTACAACTGTGGAAGTGATTTTTAAATTTTATTTAATTTTAATTGGTTTAAGCTTAAATTTAAATAGCCACATGTAGCTAGTGGGCACATTATTGGAAAGCATAACTCTTAACACCCATTTAAACCTACTGTTTTCAGGTCCTCAAGAGAATATTGCTAATGGCAATGCAAACTGGGCCAAGTCTTTATCTAAGTAGTGTGCAAATACTTATCAAAAGCCATAGAAGGGGCCAGCCTGGTGGCGCAGAGGTTAAGTGTGTGCACTCTGCTGCAGCAGCCCGGGGTTCACAGGTTCGGATCCCAGGCGCACATCAACCCACCACTTGTCAAGCCATGCTGTGGCTGCATCCCATATAAAGTAAAGGAAGATGGGCACGAATGTTAGCCCAGGGCCAATCTTCCTCAGCAAAAAAACAGGAGGACTGGCATTGGATGTTAGCTCAGGGAGGATCTTCCTCACACACACACAAAAAGCCATAGAAAAGTTCACTCTTTGAGCCTCATAAATTTATCCAAATATTTCAAAAGAAGGAAAAAAGGGTCTAAGAATAATGATTGTTTAGTAGCAGTATAGTACTGACAAACTAGCTGGAATAACTCAAAATGTTCAAAGAAAAGAATGAGAGTAAACATATAATTAAGATATAAATAACATATAGTTTATAAATATCTTATATGTAATTATTAAGAGGCCATCAAAAAATAAATTAGAAGGTCATGTAAACATAGAAAAGCACAAATAAAACGTTAAATCAAGGGCAAAAGAGTAAATAAACATGTTAATATACCATAATTACAATCATGTTTGAAGAAACAATATATAATATAAAGATCTAGAGGCCCATTGAGAAATGAAATAGTCTTATTTAGCAGTATACATTTTAAATTACTTGAAAAATTTTCCAAATGACATTGGATAGTTCCTCCTTTAGATATTACTAGTTATTTTTAAATGACATTTTGCTTTCTGACTCTTAAATTATTATTTCCTCTGCTTTTTAACCACCATTCTATTGAACACAAATTTAATGAAAAATATCTAGTGGTCTAAATATATAGCTGCCCCCTAATTAGAAAGGGTTAGTAAACCATGGAGCTTTACAGAGAACTAGCATAGAATTTAGCAAACCTAAAGCTATGTATGGGGAGTTCTTAAATTCTCTAAAGCTTTCTAAACAGTGTGTCCAATGGCCCCAGTTATATGCTAGGATAGTGCCTCCAGCCTACCACATTTACCAAGTTTACCCAGTATGCCATATAAATATTATCACTTTATATATGAAAAAGATTGGAAAGTACTACCTTAATGGATCACAAAGTTCTGTCCTTACAACCTAGTTCAACCTAGTTCTTCTAGCCTAGTAGCTGTAAATAAAAGTCAATTCAACCACTATAGCAATTCTACTTCCAAAGGTTCTGAAATTTTACCCAACACAACTAACATGCTAGTAACACAAAAACAAATAAACTTTGCTGTTGTTAGTGCCATCCAGTTGATTCCAACTCCTAGCAACCCTGTGTACAGCAGAGCTGAACCCTGCCCAGTCTTTTTGCACCATCCTCTCACCCTCCCGTGCTATATCAGACAGTGCTCCACTATTCATAGGGTTTTCATGGCCAATTTTTTCAGAAGTATGTAGCCAGATCCTCCTTCCTAACCTGTCTTAGTTTGAAAACTCTGCTGAAACCTGTCCACCATGGGTGACACTCTTGGCATTTGAAATACTGGTGGCATAGCTTTCAGCAGCACAGCAACACACAGCCGCCACAGTATGACAAGCAACAGACAGGTGGTGTGGTTCCCTGACCAGGAAACGAACCTATGTGCAGCAGTCAGAGTGCTGAATTTTAACCACTAGACCACCAGGGCTGGCTAAATAAACTTTAAGAAGAAATATATGTAAGAGGTTATATTTTTAAAGAAAGGTATAAATGCTAATAACTGAAAATTCCTTAGCAAGGTTGCTTCTTTAAAATCTTGCTGTTCTTTTTCATACACAAACCAATCTATCACATACTATTAACAATTTGTGTGATTTAGTGCTTGAGTGAATCTACACCTAGAATGAAATGCTCAAAAGCTAAAGTTTTTTCTTTGAAATGAAATACTACCTTGTTGATGCTGTAACACTATTTGGTTCCAGGATGTTTTCAGTCATCCTTAATTGTACCACCTCCGGCATGTCATTTGATTTTTCTGCACCCTCTTCTGGAAGTTCTTCTATATGTTCCAACTTTTCATCTTCCTCTTCTTCCTCAGAAAGTTCATTAACCTATGTAAATAAAAGGAAATTGAGAATTAAAATTTAATGAAACTGTTATTTGACATTGTCTAAGATATACTATTCTAAGAAAATTTTAAACACAAACAACTGATTTTTTACTTCATTTCCTAGGACTAATTTCTCTTATGGAGTAAGCAATTGCCAACTTTTCCATATTAGAATAAAACTGCAAACTAGCAAACATAACATTTTAAAGCAAGAAGTAATGATTACATTAGTACATCACTAGGAATATGAGTAAGACTGCAAGCTATGAAAAAGCCTGCACACTATAGTTAGTCAATATTAAGAAAGCTTCATTTCCTAACCAGTTTTGTAAATCTAATAGTTACAAAGACTTCTAATTGATCTAATTTCCAGGTGCATTAAACAAATGATTTTAATATAGAGTAAGTGTGAAAAAAAAAAAAAAGGGCACAGAAATTTTGCCTTCAGGTGTTAACTATGTTTTAGAAAACATCAGTTAACTTCTAAATGACTCAGATTGATTTTTTCATGACGAGATTGGACCTTACAACAAGGGGGAACTCACTGTTTTGACCATTAAGCACAACTCAAGGTTATAATTCTCTTTCTGGCAGGGGCTATAAAACATCTTCCATCATCAAATTGACTACATAAGTAAATAATCACTCTAATAAAAAGACACTGAAATATTAAAGAAGGAAAACCAACAAAATATTTTCAAATTAGAAATATTTTTTAAGCTATTCCAAAGAAGAAACTAGCCATAAATGGTCTTAACATCTTTTATAATTAATACTAGTCATTAAAAACATTGAGCAGTAAAAGTATACTTTTGTCCATTCTAGCCAAATGCACTGGAAATACCTAGAATAAATTTACTACTACATGTAACAGTGGTGTTTATCCTGATGGACAGGAAAATTGTTGCTACAATACCCTCAGAAGGTAAAAGAAAGGTAATTACACTCTGATAGTCTACCCTACTCTTAACATGTACAGATTGCCTGCTCTTTCAAGCATAATACAGTAAGTACGTAAAAGCCAGAATTGGAGACAGAAAGACCTATGTTCACATCCCTACTGTGTCCTTAACTATCTCTGGCAACTTACTTAACTTCTCCAGGCCTATGTATTAAATGGAGATGCTATACTACCTGCCTCACAGGGCTAGTTGAAAGCATCAAATAATATATGTAAACTCTTCAGTAGTGTCTATACATAATAAGCAATAAATAACAGCAATCAATGGAACTGGAATTATCTTATTTCTATATAGCATAGATCCTAGTTTCTATATGTAACATTACTTTTTATAAAAAATGAAGAGAGTATCTGCCATCCAAACTCCCTAAAGCAGGAGCTCTCAACCTCTGGTGTATCAAGGTCACTAGTTAGGTCACTAAAAATTCATTATCATCAATAGTTAATGACCTCAATTTCTGAACCATTTACTTTATATATAAAGCATATGCAGCAGATTCTATTGAATTTATTGTGCTTTAAATGCCATCCCTCATCTATCTCCTATCATGTATAACAGTGACGAAAAAGACTGAAAATGACTGGCCTAAGTGGTTATTAATTGAGAGGTAAGATTTATAGACAAAGGTGAAAATTTCAAATGATAGATCCATTTTTAAACTGGATCAAATGGAAAATTATCCTCTTTTTCCATCTATGTACTTAATTAATTAGTGAAAGTCAAGAATGTACTTAATGAATATCTGTCTGGTAACCTGGTAACCCAAGCAAGAAAAACCTGCCAAGAAAATACTGTTTTCAGAAGTATAAAATGGGAACTACGGTGGCTGATTAAGAAAAGCTTTGGCACAACAATAGAATATTAAAAAAAAACTTAAAAGATAACCTTATTTAACTGAGAATAGATGAATGTTTATTTGGTCCACAAATTTTTGGTACAGAGGGACTACTATTTTAACATGTTACATGATACGTTTTAAAATCAGTTTGTGTCTACAGTCAACAGCTCTTAGCAACAACAAAAGCCTTATACTCAATTATATTGAATACATTATATTCAATAACCTTGATGTAAATTAATTGACATTCTTCAGTATTTTCACCAATAATCATCAACTAAGACATGACATGAACAATAGCCTATGGATTTTTCTTCTCCCCTCTTCCAACTCCCAGGCCTCCCAATGTAACTTCCTGCTTGACTAAATTAGTTTGGGTAAGAGTAAACATCAAAAACTTAGATAAAAATGCTCTCTCTCTCACCCCTCACTTATGTTCAAAAGTCTTCTTGATCCTCTCCTTGTCAACCTGACGTTCTGCTTATTAACACTCTATTCTATTCATAAGTTATTCTGAACCTGCCCTATATATGCAGCTGCCTCAACGCCATTTATGGAAAACTCTCATCCATACTTACATCTCTTCTTTCTTTGACTGTTGTAATTCCCTTCTCTAGGGCCTCGTGAAATGCCTGCTCTCCAGACTCCAGCTTGTGGAGAACGCTGCTACCTGCCTTCTCAAATGTATAAAGAAACATAATTACCACCTACATCTTCAAACCACTCTACTGGATTCGCATTCATTTAAGGATCCCATACAAAGAACCTGTCCACTGACTCTCGGTCATTTCTCAAAGACTCCCTACTCATCATCTCCAGTCATCTCTCTCATACTATTAATAAAAATATCTACTACCTTGAAAAAAAGTTCTAACAGAAAAATACTTTCATTACTGGGATGAAACTCCAAAAGGAGAGAGTGCTAGATAAACTTTGCTTCCTTCAAATATCAAGATTAGGAGAAAAATCAAAGCATTCCCAGAATGGGCCAGGTCTGTCCACAACTTTAAATATGCGGATAAGAAATTAGCAGCATTTAAGTTATGCCAACTTAAAAATACAACCAATTTGTGCTGAGTTTGAGGCGATTTTACTTTCACCTAATATCTTTCAATTCAGCCTCACAAGTCAAACTGAAATTATCAAATCTGCTTTAAAGAAAAACTTTCAGAAATCTGTTCTTCTATTACTTGCAACCCACTTATAATTCAGAAATATAATAAAAATAGATAAGAAAATAGATCCTGTTAATTAGCAATATGGGCCAAGATAATTAAATATACATCACTGTCTTCCAGGACTCAATGCACTACTCCATTTATTGAGCATATTCTGTTCAATAGGCTAAAATCCTCTTTTCTAACCACAGGCAAATCTACAGAATTCAACATTATCTCCTGGTGTTAACCACTATTCTATTTAATGTAAAGCACAACATATTTTAAGTGTATTTTTCTAGTGCTTAAAAAAATACAAAAATACAAGGGCCGGCCCAGCGGCATAGCACTTAAGTGCGCACACTCCACTCTGGTGGCCCAGGGTTTGCAGGTTTGGATCCCGGACACGCACCAATGCACCTCTTGTCAAGCCATGCTATGGCGGTGTCCCATATAAAGTAGAGGAAGATGAGCACGGATGTTAGCCCAGGAACAATCTTCCTTAGCAAAAAGAGGAGGATTGGCATCGGATGTTAGCTCAGGGCTAATCTTCCTCACAAAAACAATAAAAAATACAAAAATACAAATGCAATAAATGTGAGATATGGATATATTTCAGCATACACAAGGAAGCTACATGATAATAGATATCAGAGAATTGCACCACAATGTAAAGCATAATCAAGGTATACCCTGCACACATTAGAGGACTCAAGATTTAAACATTAGATCAAACTGACATCATCAGTTTCTTACAATAAGTCAAATCATCTTAGAAATATAGAAAATTAGTGACACAAACGTATGTATATTATTTCATTTTGAGCAGCCATTAATTTTATTTAAAAAAATAAATTACTGAACTAAAACATAATTTAAAGAAAAGAAAGGTGGCACACAGAATTCCTCAAAGATGAGGAATGGACATAAAAAGACATTAAAGGGGCCAGCCCCGTGGCATAGTGGTTAAGCTCAGGGCGCCCCGCTTCGGCAGCCCGGGTTCAGATCCTGGGCACGGACCTACACCACTCATCAGCCATGCCGTGACAGTGACCCAAATACAAAATAGAGGAAGACTGGCACAAATGTTAGCTCAGGTCTAATCTTCCTCAAGCAAAAAAAATAGGAAGATTGGCCACAGGTGTTAGCTGAGGGCAAATCTTCCTCAGAGGAAAAAAAAAAAAGACATTAAAAGTTTAAGGAATATCTGTCTACTTGTCATTTTCTTTTAAGCAAGAATAATTTTGAAGCAATGTGTCAGTTCTTTATCTTAACCAAGTTATTTTAAGTCAGGAACTGTATATGATAGTTGGAAACATTAAAAAAGTATGCTAAAAGTTCCATGGATCACTGATTCAGGCTACAAATTCTACCCACTTGATTTACTTTACAAATATATATATATGCACACTGATTTCATCCTCAGTTTACACGTTACAAGTTGCAATCTGGCATCTGTTACTGTTTCCTTAAAGCTCCTGATACTTGAAAAAGAGAGAGGGGAGAGGAAGAAAGGAAAGAAAGGAGGGAAGGAAAGAAGAAAGGAAAGAGAGAGGGAAAATCAGACAAAGATAAAAATGCTTACATGAAGAAAACATGAAAAACTAAGGAAAATATGAACCCCAAATGTTAAAAAGACTTATCCATAAAAGTTCACAACAGTATAGAAACTCTTTTAAATAAAAGCTGGGCTACCCAGAAAATAAAACTCTTAATTCAATCAGACCCAAGGCCTTTAAGAACTAATGAAAATCTGTATGATAAACTACCTTTCAAGAGATGCTGCTTTATAATCTAAGAGCAAATGAAGGGAAGCAACCCAAATGTCTATCAATAAACAGTGTGACCGTATAATTTTTTATCTAAACCTGGATATATTTAGAGTGAAAAAGGGAGCGACTAATAATTACATCAGAAAGCAGATACAAACCAGGACTATTCTGAGAAAACTGGGATGTACTATCACCTTTTCAAGTAGGGACTGGTACTCTAAATCAAATAAATTATAATGTTACAACCATACAGTAGGGAACTATGCAGATGTAAAAACAAAAGAAAATGTTTCCTATATTCCAATAAGAAAAGATCTCCAAGATATACTGACAACTGATTAAAAAAAATGAAGTGCAGAACAGTGTGTATGGTATGCTACTTTTCTGTTAAAAAACTGCAAGGAAATATTTAATTATATTTGCATAAAGAAACTGAAAAAAAACACTGGAAGAGAGGGAGTGGATATAGGTAAGAGCAAGACATTTTACTGTATATTTTTCTTTTTTTTTAACCAGGTGAATTATTATTCATTAAAAAAAAAAGTAGCAGCCCACCCCACAGCTAAAATATAAATAATTCACAGGTTTTAACCTAATAAAAGTTTTCTTGACAAATCATTCACTTAAGTGCAAAAGAAAACCTCCACAAAGACCTAAATCACAAATTCTAAACCTGAGAAGTCTGGATTAATGTGGTTTGACAGTGAATTACAATTACTCAGCATCAATATTCTCACTTCATAAAGGAGAAAGTAACTAGGATCTTTGTACAATCTCAACCATAGCAGTAACATATAAGGCATAGCAGTAACAATAAAATATAATATAGCCTAAAATGGATTTTAATATTGAAGAGTTACAAGAGCTAAAAAATATCTGCAACCTAAACTATTACTCTCCTGATGCTTCCCATTAAGGACAACAATTGCACTGCTATATTGACTTGCTATTTTAGTCAAGAAAAACTTCTTATTTTTAAAGTATGTGTGAACTTGGTGTTGAATCATCACCCCTACCTTCTAATTCTCACCTTTTGCCTACAGCCCTCTATGCTGGCAGTTTCTTTGCAAAACAAAACAACACACTACTCTTACAAAATAAACAATGCTTATGTTAACAGGAAAAAAACACAAAAAAACTCCCCACAAAATCTCTACCATATACTCTGGTTTCAATGTCTTTTCCATATTACACAAATTAAGGAACGAGAAGTTGTTCAGAAAAAGTATCACGTTCATATACTACATGGATGTGCCACTATGACTACATATAATAACCAAGAGAACTACTTCCAGTTTAGTACTTAAGAATTCCACCTAACGGCTGGCCCCATGGCTTAGCGGTTAAGTGCCCGTGCTCCGCTGCTGGCGGCCTGGGTTCAGATCCCGGGTGTGCACCAATGTGCCACTTCTCTGGCCATGCTGAGGTCGCGTCCCACATACAGAAACTAGAAGGATGTACGACTATGACATACAACTATCTACTGGGGCTTTCAGGGAAAAAATAAATAAATAAATAAAAATTAAAAAAAAAAAAAAGAATTCCACCTAAGTTTGTGCCAAGCCCTTAAGAGCATATTCTTTAAAAAAAAAATTCTCCCTCCAAGTAGTACATTTAAAATATTCTTAGGGCCGGCCCCGTGGCTTAGCGGTTAAGTGCCGTGCGCTCCGCTGCTGGCGGCCCCGGTTCAGATCCTGGGCGCGCACCGACGTACCGCTTCTCCGGCTATGCTGAGGCCGCGTCCCACATACAGCAACTAGAAGGATGTGAAACTATGATGTACAACTATCTACTGGGGCTTTGGGGGAAAAAATAAATAAATAAAATTAAAAAAATATATATATATATTCTTACTTGGGGCCGGCCCTGTGGCTTAACAGTTAAGTGCATGCACTCCGCTACTGGCAGCCCGGGTTCAGATCCCGGGCGTGCACCGACACACCGCTCCTCTGGCCATGCTGAGGTCGAGTCCCATATACAGCAACTAGAAGGATGTGCAACTATGACATACAACTATCTTCTGGGGCTTTGGGGGGAAAAAAAGGAGGAGGATTGGCAATAGATGTTAGCGCAGAGCCGGTCTTCCTCAGCAAAAAGAAGAGGATTAGCATGGATGTTAGCTCAGGGCTGATCTTCCTCACAAAAAAATAAATAAATAAATAAATAAAATATTCTTACCTGTTCAGTAATTGAACTCAAATCATGAGATGAGAAATCTTCCTCTTCGTTCTCAAAAAACTCATAGTAATTTTCCAGAAGTCCAGCCATTATCCTGCTCACTATTTCTTGCTCTTTCAGATCTTCCACATCTGTGTAAATGCTAAGAATAAAGTCCAGATTGAATTTTGAGTCCTTAAATCAATCACAGGTAAAGTCAGAAGACAACCAATGAGTCACTTTTATATACCTGAGCAATTTATGTCATCATTTTGTGCCTCACTTTTCCCATCTGTAAAGCTTACCTAATTTGTACCCTGTTCACAGAAATGCTGGATTAATCAAATCTACTATAAAAAATAAAGGTTCATCAAGTAACCTATGATCCTTGGGAGACAGTATAATGATTCTATTTCACAAATTCATTTTTTTTTTAATTAAACAAAATTTTGTGGGAAAACTTACTGGAAGACATCTGGACCAAAGACAGCAGCCAAAGAATTTGCAGACCAAATTTCTTCATGATGTGATGCTACATTGGCTAAAAATCTACACAGAAACTTTAACAAACTGTAATTAACAGGTGGAAGCTGTTGCAAGAGGAACCTCAACTTTCTTCCAAATTCATCTTCGTTACTATAATCTACAAAACATAATGACAGGTTTTTTTTAATGAAGTAAAAGCAAAGCTCAGCTATTCTGCCAGGTTCCCATTACTCCACCCACATCATCTTTTTACTCTAACAATTCAAAATCTCTTCACTTCCTCTACTAGAGGCCAAAGCCTTAGGGCTTTGCATTTCACTTATTAAGTGGAAGAGAAGAGCTGGAGAGAAGGAATTCAACCCCTCAATTGCTGGAGGATGTTTTCCTCATCTGTTACTCATTGGCCCCAATTCCCTCTCTAATTTTTTCTTTCAAATTCTCATCATACTGTCTCTTGTGTGACTGTACCTGTGTTTCCAAATTAGTGCTGATTATAAGAAGTCAAAATGCACTGGCCAACACCACTTAACACCAACTACTAGTGAGCAAAGAGAAGCAATTTCACTGGCTAATAGCATCAGTGATACTTTTCCACTTGAGTGAATGGGAAAACAAGGAAGGAACAGGGTGAGAGTGACTTTCTTTTCCCCTGACACCTTGAAAAGAACAATTAACTTCAGCAATATCAGTACAACTAAATAAAAAGAAATTCCACTTCTCATTTGTTTTTCTTCTCTAAGCTGATGTTGGTTTCTGTTTACCAAGTGAAATTTCAACTAGCAGAAGCTACGCTCTGTATTTATCATGTCAATGAGTTTTCATTAACAGAAACTAGGTCTGTATCAACCCCAGTGACTGGTGAGGGCCCCACTTAGGAGACATAATCTCTCAGAGCTACCCTCAAAATGAAGTAACGGAGAAAATCAACCCAATTATATTTCATTTTATATTTTTCTTCAGGTTCTTAAAATTAATTTAAAAATTAATTGTTGGTAAAAAAAATTCTTGGTAAAAGTTTATGGTCAGGACATCGGCCATCTCTGCAAAATAACACAAGTCTAAGAAGTTTATCAGGAAAGGGTCTACAGTCATGCACCACATAATGTCGTTTGTGTCAATGACAGACCACATAGACTATGGTGGTCTCATAAGATTAGTACCATACAGCCTGGGTGCATAGTAGACTATAGCATCTAGATTTGTGTAAGTACACTCTATGATATTCACACAACGACGAACCACTTAAGGAGATGCATTTCTCAGAACATACCCCTGTCGCTAAGTGATGGACACATGAATGTAGTCACATGAGATTTACTTAAAATTTAAAATGCAACCAACAATTTTTCTATATTTTGTAATATTACCAACTGGCCATTCAAATGCAGCAAGTACTTTGATTTTATAATTGGACAGACCAGTCCCTGGATTAATGTTTTTTAAACCATCGTGCCTATAATTGGTGGAAATTTTTAACAACCTAAGCATTTAGTAGAAAAGAAAATATGCAACTCAACTCAAAAAATATATGCAAGCAATTAATATTATCAATATGATGACTACAGCAACACTGACAAATTCTACATAACATCTTCTCTAGCTTTGTAGCATTTATCACCTAATATACCTATATATTTATTTTATCATCTATTTCTCCTCTATCTCCCCTTATGCCCTTTGGAATTTTAGCTCTATGATGGAAGAGATTTTTATCCAGTTTTCTTCACTGATGCCTTCCTAGAATCTAGAACAGTGCCTAGCATATAGAAGGTGTTCAATAAATATTAGTTGAATAAGCTGAATGAATACACAATAACCGAAAAAAGATACTGGACAACTAAAACGTTGACTTGATAAGGTGGTAAGATTATGGGCAATACTGTTTTTACTTGAAATACTGTCCGTGTTGTTCTACTTTTGTTTGTGTGCATTTCTACTACACGAAAATATTTATACCCACCAGGCTGCTTCTAAAGTCTTTGAATAAGGTAGAGAAGCATTTCAAAGTATATATATTACATACCTGCTTAAATTTCTTTCCTTTTGAAACTACTTCCTAGTTGAATCAAATCCAGGAAAAATACATGTACAGTCATATGTCACTTAATGATGAGGGTACATATTCTGAGAAATGTGTCATTAGGCAATTTTGTCATTGTGCAAACATCACAGAGTATACTTACACAAATCTAAATAGCACAGCATACTACACACCTAGGCTCCATGATACTAATCTTTTGGGATCACTGTCATATACATGGTCTGTCGCTGACCAAAATGTCAGTATGTGGCACATGACTATATATCAAAGAAGCTTCCCCTGACTAGCAATTCTTTTGAGCATCGTAACATTTTTCGTAAATGTTAAAACAAATTTAAGAAACTAGGAACTAAGTTTTCTACCAAAACACAATGTATAAGTAACTGGACAAACCATCATGGTCTAAACCAGTGGCTGACAACATTTGACAATGAATGGAATGGCTGTCATAACTTGGGGGAAAGGGATGCCAGTGGCATCTAGTATGTAGAGGCTAGGGATGCTGCTCAATATCCTAAAATTCACAGGACAGCCCCCTATAATAAAGAATTATCCAGCCCAAAATATCAACAATGCCAAGGTCGTGAAATCCTGGTCTAAATAAAGATCTAACTACACTAGAAACGCCACACTGCAGTGTCCTGCTACCACAGAAAATGAAAACCACTTTTTTAAAAGTACCAACTCTAATGCAATAGCAATAATGCTCCCTCCAGGATCTTAAAAGCAATAATCTTCTCATGTATTTGTGAATGTCAATCAAAATATAACACAATATTTATCAACAATAAATCTTTGTCCAGAGAAAAGAGTCTTTGTCCGGAGACCTACACACCTTCCCAAAAGAATGAATAAACGATGGAAAAACATAAAACAAATATTACAACAGAAATGCAAATATCACCAAGTACTGCCACACCTATCTGCATAGCTATTAAAGAAATGAGTGTAAGTGGGTGTGTGTGCATGCACACATACACATGCTAATGGTTATGTAAGTGGGAAACGAAGGAGAACGGTGGATTTCTTATATTATAACATTAAAAGACTTGTGGGCCACAAACATTTTTGCATACTTTAAATTCTTTCACAAGTGAATGTTAAGAATAATTAATTAGTAAGATGCATATTGTAATTCCAGGAATGATAATATAGTGCACAATGCTGTCATACTTTTAAATTAATACCAATCAAAATGACAATACCAGTGATAAAATAGCTTCTGATAGTATCAATGACAGTCAATGACTTTATTACCATTAAATCTTATTCCAATTATTCTTTTATAAATTTTCATTCAAGACTGAAAGATTATCTGATTCTTGGAACTTTAAAGTCTTGTCTGTAATTCACCTAACACAGGGAACACAGAACTCGATCACTATAAAAACAAAAAGAATGGCTCTAGAGGGGGCCGGTCCCGTGGCGTAGCGGTTAAGTGCTCACGCTCTGCTGCTGGCGGCCCAGGTTCGGATCCCGGGCACACACCGATGCAGTCATTGCTTGTCAGGCCATGCTGTGGCGGCATCCCATATAAAGTAGAGGAAGATGGGCATGGATGTTAGCACAGGGCCATTCTTCCTCAGCAAAAAGAGGAGGATTGGCATGGATGTTAGCTCAGGGCTGATCTTCCTCACAAAAAAAGAATGGCTCTAAGTCATAAAAAGGGCTCAAAAACCTAACACATCAGTTTCATCACATATTTAATGGATGCAAAATGCTTACTGGGTGACTCATTATAAACATTTGAAAAAATACCTACAAGAAAAGGAAGAAATAGATTCAGAAGTTCAAAACAAAAAATGTAATATTTGTTAGGAGAAAAAAATAAAGTTATACTATGAAAAAAGGTAACATTATTGATGACATTTCATTTTGAAACCTGTTTTTTGATCCAGGTGGCACAATAAAAGAACTAAATTGAATCAGGCTAACCACTCCTGAATATAGCAGGTTCAAAGTGAGTCCTATCATCTAGTTGTAAAGAAGAAAACATACGTAAGAGGGTCATAAAATATCTCTGCCTTGACCTTAACGCATAAATAGAGGCATCCACTAACTTAGGCTTATAGGTGTTTAAAATTTAAGGAAAAGATGGATAAATATTCTTAAAAGGAAATTCTCCTTCTCTGACTACATACTGGTTAAGGATACACACAAACATATAAAATGTCCAGCTATGATGCAATAGACATTGAAGAAGTAGTTATAATTTCTTAACACGACTGCATTTCTCAAGAAGCCTCAATTCAAAAAATCAGAGACTCCATAATACAAAGAAAAATCAGAAAAAATAATTTAAAAATTCAGAGGGCCGGGCCGGTGGCGTAGCGGTTAAGTGCACGCGCTCCGCTTCGGTGGCCTGGGGTTCACAGGTTCAGATCCCGGGCACATACTGACACACCGCTTGTCAAGCCATGCTGTGGTGGCGTCCCATATAAAGCAGAGGAAGATGGGCACAGATGTTAGCCCAGGGCCAATCTTCCTCAGCAAAAAGAGGAGAGAACTGGCATTGGATGTTAGCTCAGGGCTAATCCTCCCCACACACACACACAAAAAAAAAATTCAATGAATATATAACATTATATACCAACTTTATAAATTTCCCATATGATGAAACATGTCCGCTCCATTACATGCACATGAATACCACTTGGCGCTAGGAAGAGAAGCATTTCCTCACCTTCTGATTCTTTTACCCGTCTGCCTACCTCTACCTTTATTTTTCTTGTCCCTATTCCATTCCAGCTGAGCTCTACTTTTAGTCACCACCAAAAAAATAACCCAACAAGAACAAATCAATTTTTTTTCTTTATTTGGCTTGGAGTCTGATGTCCAATATGATATTTTATTTCCTCCAGGCAGGTGTCCAAGAACAAGCTTTAGGTTGTATTCCAAACTTAGAATCAAAGTTGTCCTCTGGTTTTTGCTAGGAAGTTCTATCAAACCAGGGATAAACATTCTATAGTAACATCACCACTAAGCAACACCACTGGCTATTATCAGACATTCTGCCACATATATCACCTTATATATATTTTTCTTCCTTCCTTCCCTACTCTCCTACTCCTTTTTCTTCTCCTGCCTTTCCTCCTTCTCCTTCTCACTCTGTTATCTTAGGCTTACTAAGACCAATCATAAAAAGTAAATAGTACTACAGGAATCTAAGAAGTTGCCATTACCTTGACTAGACCATACAGCCCCAAAGAGTATATGTTCCCAAACAAGAACATAAAAAATTAATTTCAGAACTATATAATTACTGTTTTCATGTCAAGATTTCTAAAAGGTAAGGACTTTGAAATTAATGTTAAATGACTGATGGATAAGAATCAAATTACGTTACCTTGAGAAAGCTGCATCAAGTGAATATGCAAACTGCCAGGGATAACAGGTTCAGGAAGTTCTTGGAGGAAAAACCTAAGAAGACTAATAGCTGAGGGAACATCTGCTTCCTTAACCAAATCCACCTCTTCTCCACTGTCATATCTCTGCCGAAGCCACTCCACTGTCTCAGCATTTCCATTGACTTGAAAAAGTCCTTGTTGCTCCAGACCTCCTACGTCAGTTCAAGGCAAAAATTAAACCAGCTTCAACTTCAATTACTTGGCCATACACATTCATTCTCCAATCAACTTAAAATATTCATACTTTTGGAAAGCTATCCTTGGCTCCCCTTACTGGGCTAAGCACCTTCAAATTACACATCTAGAAATATACTCTCTCTGTCCTGAGGGATATTCTCTTTTATCCCAGCCCCTATTATCCACTAAAAATATTTCTATCATCCCCCTGCCCCCACCCACTAAAAAATGCTCTAGGCTGGGCATTTCTAAGTATATGACTTTAAGTAAAAAACACATTAAAATGTTAAAAAGAATTTCTATTGTTTTTCCTCACCATATTTTGGACTTTCCATACTAAAAAAACAAAAAACAAAAAAATCCAAGGTCAAAAAGGGATAAGTTGTGTTTATTAAAACAAAGGCTAGCCCTCAAAGTAAGGAAATGTATACCATGTTCCTCAATATAGTCCACAACATGGCGGACTATGAACGGAACCTCATTGTCTGGATGTCCTCCCTGCTGCAGCTCATCAAGTGGAATTCCAAATATTTTGTTAGCAAGAACGGAGTTGCAGTTACTCAAGGAAGGGGAGGAGCTCTTCCTCATATCTTTTTTGCAGCCAGAAATCAAAGCTGTCTTTTCTGCCAAATGAAAAAAAAAAAAAAAAAAAAAAAAAAGACTATAATGATTAACAGATGGCAATATGACTAAATACATTAAAGAAAAAGGCTTTACACCTGAATGTACTCATCTATTAAATAAGCTCCAGTTATCAGGCCCATAGTGTGTTCTACAAATAAAGCTCAATATAATCATCTAAGTACTTCTCTACTATGTAGAGTTAGTTCTGAATGTTCCCTTTAGTGTTTGCATATTTATCAAACAATGGGAAAACTGATCATTAAACTTAGCAAAGGATATTAATGTCTCAAAGACAAATTAAGAGGCAGATCTGGCTCCAAGAGGACCTTCACTGACCAAGCTTATTAATGACACAGGTACAAAGCCAAACCCAATCATTTCTGGAACTCTGCTGTATGAAGCTCATCTAACCCCTCAATCCATAAGCACCCAAACAGGAGAGAATCACTTTTTATAAAGTAATGGGCTAAGAATCACATTTTATAAACAATGGGCTAATAAGAAGAGGATTAACCAGTTCTTATTTCTACATAACAGAGCAATCATAATATGTTTTTATAAACAAAAGAAATTTTTCATTTCTAGACATCAGCTTTCAATGAAAATGTTTTTTTATCAATCTTGCTGTTTTATAATTATTGAAAAGAAAAATTTCCACAGCCAGACTAGTTCAAAAGACATAAGTTAACTTTGTAGGAATTGTGATCAGTAAGAAGCAGTAGGAGAAAATAATATTTCCAATAGCTGAAGCATCAAAGAAAAAGTGATCCCAAGAAAACTTTATCTTCTAAAATAAACATTTATTATTTTATGTGGGAAAGGATTATTTTTGAAAGAAAGAAAAACATTTTTCAAAAGTTGATAATGAACAAAATGACAAGTGGGCTTTTTTCATCACCCCAGAGAAACAATTCCTTTTGTACTACAAGAGAAAGATAACAGAGCAAAAAAATAAATCTGCTCCATATTCTAAAGTTTCCAAAAATAAGGTCCATATATATAACAGGTACACCCACTGATCAAAGAGTGTCACAATGTGACTGGGAAATAAATCTATCCACTTACAGAAATGGCAGAAATTAACTTGGGAGCAGCAAAATGCCATAAATTTAGATAGTTTTAGATAAACAAGATCCATTCTTCAACACATCCAGTGCCAGCTAAAAACTATAAAACCTCAAGTTAATAATCAAATAGCAACAATAGGAGATAAACTCCAAAATCTCTGTGGATTTATATAGCATGAGATAGTTACCATTTTGAAAACTCACCTTTGAGTACTTAAACACCTAAGTTTAAAAAATGGCTTCTGCACCAGCTACCCTCACTGAGCAAGCATTCTTTTGTCATTTATGGCTGTTTGAGATTATGGCAGAAGATCAGCCTGTAGTTCCTCATTGAAGAAACACAGAACTCGATCAGTACTTCAGCAGTTAATCTGGAAGAAAAAAACAATTCTTTTAATTTCTCACAACATCCTTAACTATGAAAAGAGACTAGAATATGCAGTGAAATCCATTTAGGAAGGAGCCTATACTGAAAAACATTCTTCTGCCTTAAAAGTCTGTCTGTGACCTAGTTAGAGACAAAAATCTTACACAAGGTTTCAAATTATGATGGTTAGCCTGGGTAAGAATCTTTTTGCTAAAAATAAATAAAGGAACTGCACAGGAGAATGTTTGACAGTACACATCTTCAGGGATTACACCATACAAATAATCCATTTTCCTCAATGGACCCTTCATTTGTGCACACACACACATCCCACCCAGTTCCATTCCATCCTTATATATTCAGAACTAAACAAGGAATCATTTTCAGATCAAAGAATGAAAGCCATGATTTTAAGCTTGAAACTGAACTTATATATTTTATTCTTTTCTTTGTGTAGAATGAATATTTTGTTAACAAGAACAGAGTTGTCTGAGCTTTCTGATTTAGAGAGGTAACACAGGGGCCGGCCTCATGGCTTAGCGGTTAAGTGCGCGCCCTCTGCTACTGGCGGCCCAAGTTCAGATCCCGGGCGCGCACCGACGCATCGCTTGCCTGGCCATGCTGAGGTGGCGTCCCACATACAGCAACTAGAAGGATATGCAACTATGACATACAACTATCTACTGGGGCTTTGGGGAGAAAAAGGGGGAAAAAAAGGAGGAGGACTGGCAATAGATGTTAGCTCAGGGCTGATCTTCCTCACTAAAAAAAAAAAAAAAAAAAGAGGGACACATGTTGGAAAAGAGCAGTTAACAGAACCAGAAAGGCGTACATTCAAACATCAACTCCACCATTCTGTAGGTGTGACCCTGAACAACTTCCATGTCTCTAAGCCTATAATACCTATACACCTGTTAAGTTTAACCGAGATAATACACGCATGTAGTAGACAGAGAACCAGTTTCTTTCTCTTCTTTGCGTAATGTTAAAAGACCAGCAAATAGGCTGGGGAGCGAAGGGAAAACCTGTCTGGCAATGTGTTCTAATATTTGGTCTTATCATCTTCTGTGAATTCTAGTAACCTATTAAAAAACCTTTTAATATGTTCAATAAACTACACTGCAGCACTCTGCTCACCAGGGTTCAGGTAAGCAGAAGAATATTACCATCCAATGTGGTTTTCAAAAAAGTCTCATTAGTAACATATACCTCCAGGAGGGACATTAAAAACTGAGGGGAAGGAAAACCACATTCCCACAACAAATCTTGAATAGATGACTACTTCTAAAACATCCTGAAACGCCTGCTGAAACATGTAGTCTATTCACCTGAAAAACAACTTCAAAGTTATATAACATCCTTTAGCGAGGTTAACTGCAGGGATAAGATGTTTAATGAACTTACATTAAAAGTCAGGTTGATACCCTCGTGACATAAAGGAAAGGAGGATTTGCTTGATGTACAATAAACGAAGACTCATTAGAAGAGTCTGTCAGATGCAAATTCCATACATCACTAAAACGAGTACTCAGTGTTTAGCTGTCCTGTCAGTGAAACCAGGAACCAGTTACCTCATCCTGTATTCTCTACTACTTCCAACCCCTAACTAGACAATCTGAAAAGCCTATCTTTCCTAAGGCGAAGCTGGGTAGGAATATATGAATTCATCAGTAGAAATTCATCCTTACTACTAGAAAAACAAAGGCATAAATCTTTCAGGTGATGAGTCTTTCTCCTGAAGAAGAGCACTGAAGATGATGAAGAAAACAGCAGCAGCTAACATTAAATTAGCAGTTACTATGTGCCAGGCAGTTCTATGTAATTACACGTATTTTATGTTCTGGTATATACATATAGTTCTATCTATATATACATAATACACGTAAACCCTTACTTTAATAAGACATTGTGTAGAATTTCACCAATTTACCCACAGTCCGCCCAGCTAATAAGGGTCAGAGGCAGAATCTGAACCCAGAGAGTGTGACTCCTAAAGTCCTTGCTCTTAATCACTATACTACACTATCGCTCTGTGTAAATTCTCACAATTTAAAGTACCACAGAATCTCACATTTTATCACTGAAACTGACCACAGAGTCTGATATACATTATAGGAGGTCATTTATTCCTAGCTTTCTAAAAGGTACTTAATAACAGCAGACCCATTCTCCAAGCCCTACTGGCCAATGATTATTCACTTGAGACCTCTATCTAGAGCACACTGCTGAGGGCATTCAGACTAGAGTGGCCCAAAATAACATTTCTGCCAACTGCAAAGTAGTTTTTAACATTATTTAGTCCTGTTTCCTGCCCCTTTTTAGAGCTTAAATGATGTAAATAGTCCCTTCACATATACAGTGGGTTGAATAGTGCTCCCCAAAAATTCATGTCCATCTGGAACCTCAAAATGTGACCTTATTTGGAAATAGGATCTTTGCATATGTAATTAAAGATCTCAAAATAAAATCATCCTAGATTTAGGGTGAGTCCTAAATCCAATGACTGGTGTCCTTATAAGAGGAGGAGAGGGGGGGCTGGCCCGGTGGCACAAGTGGTTAAGTGCAGGCACTCCGCTGCGGCAGCCCGGAGTTCGCCGGTTCGGATCCCGGGTGTGCAATGACGCACCACTTGTAAAGCCATGCTGTGGCGGCATCCCATATAAAGTAGAGGAAGATGGGCACGATGTTAGCCTAGGGCCAGTCTTCCTCAGCAAAAAAAGAGGAGGATTGGCAGATGTTAGCAAAGGGCTGATCTCCTCACAAAAAAAAAAAAAGAGGAGGAGAGGACACACAGAGACACACAGAGGGGAAGAAAGCCATGTGAAGACGAAGCCAGAAGTTGGAGTTATGCAGTCACAAGACAAGAAACGCTAAGAGCCACCAAAAGCTGGAAAAGGCAAGGAAGGATTCTCCCCCTAAAACTGTCAGAGAGAGTGTGGCCCTGCCAACACCTTGATTTAAGACTTCTGGCCTCTTGATCTGTGAAAGAAAAACTTGTATTGTTTTAGAGTCACCCTATTTGTAGTAATTTGTTATGAAAGCCCTAGAACACTAAAGCAATATCTAAACTACAATATCCAGTTCTCAAAGAAAATAGCAGCAGATACCACAGAAAAATGTCCCAAAGAGATCTGATGAAACATCTTAGCAGATAGGATCAATAAAATGCAAAGAAAACAGTTAATAAATAAAAGGCTTGACACAAGAGAAAACAATGTGTAGACTTCCAAAATAACCAAGGATTTTCAAAAGTATAATTTTATTATAAATCAAACCAGCAAAATCATTTTAAATACAAGTGACAGCTACCTAGCATGGTGGTACTAACAACCAATAAGAAATCATTTTGAATTTTACATCACATACTTTACCACGAAGCCAACCCTGGTAGATTTGGAGCTCTCACTGCCCTGGCCCAGGTTCATTTCCCGGCAGGGACCCATACCACCCGTCTGTTGGTTGTCATACTGTGGCAGCTGCGTGTTGCTGTGATGCTGAAGCTATGCCACTGGATTTTCAAATATCAGCAGGGTCACCCACGGTGGGCAGGTTTCAGCGGAGCTTCCAGACTAAGACAGACTAGGAAGAAGGACCTGGCCACGCAGTTCCGAAAAAATCAGCCATGAAAACCCTATGAATAGCAACGGAGAATGGTGCAAAAACACCGGGCAGGGTTCCCTTCTGCTGTACACAGGGTCGCTAGGAGTCAGAATTGACTGGACAGCACTAACAACAAAACAACTTTACCATGAGACAAGAGTATATAAAAATAATACAATTAAATACCAATTATCAATAAAGCTGGGTGATGCGTACATTCAGGTAACTGTACCCTCATACATCAGCTATCAACCTGAGTTCTGATAAGGCTCAAGGTACTTTTGCACTCCATTCAGTTCTATTTACATATAAATGATAGCAACAAACACATCTTTCTTAGTAGCACAGAATCTTTAAGTTTTAAATACCTAATAAAATTAGTAGTGAGGGGCTTTTAAAAAAGAGTGGAACACCAACATCAATACTATGGATAATAGCAAATAGCATTAACTGAGCTCTTTTCAATATGCCAGGAACTATTTTAAGGGCTCTAATTGTATTAACTCATTTAATCCTTACAACAATCCTATGGAGACAGACACTTTCACTATAACCATTTCACTGATGAGAAAACTAAAAAGCCTTGGAAACTTTTTGAGGAGATGGAAATGTTCTATGTCACAATTGTGATAATGATGGTTACATGCTTCAGACACTTGTGAGAACTTATTGAAGTGGACATTTTAAATTAGTGAATACTACAGTATATAAATTATACTGAAAAAAATTAAAGCTAAAAAAATTTTAAAAAAAGAAATCACATGAATAAAGACATAGCATCACTTCAATAGATTAACATCAAACTATTTTTATTATAGAATATGACATTTTTAAAATATACTTTTCCACTCACAAAAGGAAAATAAAAGATTTATTTTAATCATATTTCAGAACCAATCCTGTTTGGCCCTTCTATGTTATCTAGCACATTTAGACATTACCAAATTTTCTATATAGTGTAACTAAGAAAAACAGAATAATCATTTGCACTGAAGACATGATAAATTTTAGACACTTGTTTAAAGTCTTTTCAAAGCAAATAATTTTTTTAAAAACACTATAATAATATTGCATCAGCAATACACTAATAAAGTTTTATCATTTTACAAATAAGGCAACCTGTGGTAAGAGCAGCATCTGCCAAAGTAAATGATCATTTTCATGTGAAAAAGTTTTACCTTCAAACTGAACACAAAGGAACAAGAAAAGTCACTTTTGCCTAAAGTGCTTTTGACAAAATAGGATACAATTCACATAGAAAACTTTAAAAGAGCTACCTCAGTAACTGCTAAAGCCAAAAAAAAAAAAAAAAAAACCTATCAATAGTATCCAAAGAGGGAAAAGCCAAGAGGGAGCTGGGTCTTAATAAAGATGGTAAACTTTGGGAACAGAGATTAAGTTTGT